CTTAACCGGCTGTTAGGTTTTAAAGATAATCTTGTTAACGTAATAAGGTTATCTAAATTAAACTGTTTTATTTAATTTTCTACATAGAAAAAAATTCAAATATATTTAGAAGTAGCACGACATACACATTATAGAAGAATGAATAACATAATGATTTGTTTGTCACAATACATAACGCATAATACAGAGAAATTAAAACTATAAAGAAAAAGAAACAATATAGAAACAACATTCTGAAATACATTGGCTTGCAGCAACGATAAGGCATCCGATGGCTATCCATGGCAACACTTCTACAACTTAATGCTGTAGCAGTGTTGCCATGGATAGCGTTGTTATTCTTACGGTGACAAAGAGAGAATTATAGATTTGAAAGATACCTAGTTCCAACCGTAGAATTTAAATACACTACACAACCGGAGTTTTTCCTAAAAGAGATATAATTTTAAGGTTAATTATGTTGTTGGGGGTTAAACCTATAAAAATATTAAATAATATATTATCTTAATTAATGAAGCACCAGAATATGTTAGTTTAACTAATAAGTGATTATACATTTAGGAGTAAGCCTACCATAAAGATTTTTGATTTTATAATGTTTGAATAATTTGGGATCCTAATAAATAAATAAAAATTATTCATCCCGAAGCAAATGCTTAATTATTGTTAAAATTAAAAAGTGAAGTTAAGCATACAGTAGGTTAAATTAATAAATTACTAATTACTACGTAATACCATTTAGGGCGTGTGCCAAGTTCCGGGATTTCGAGCTCAGTATCCGTAGTCCATGTACTCGAAAGCATACAACCGAGTTGGCATAACGCCAAGGGTTCTGCCCTTGAAAAAACTCGGTCAATTGGTACATAGACGAGAGTGTAAATTTAAAGTGTAATAAATATATCAATAAAACGAATATATCACCTTATATAAAATAAGAAATTGTTTGATAAAAAAGTGTGTTTTACAAGATGATGTTTTGATCAGAATTAAGTAAGGAGTGCTTCGGTGATTCAGACATGTAGAAAGAATGAGTGAGAAAAGAGTCACTGAACAAATATATGCTGTAGTCCCTGCTAACTCTCTGGGAGATAAGTGGGAAAAATTATGTATGTATAAAGATAAGTTACTGTGAAATATATGATGTGAGAATCTTATTTTATTTATTTACGTCGCAATGTTCATCAAAATGTTAAGAATTTTATTTCTGCGTACTTTAATTTGGGGCTTACACATCTACATAACCAACCTCTTGTTGTGTATATAAAATATTATATAAAAGGTTATTTTATCATATACTTGAAGGAATATCTTGTAACTAAATTTTCTTTATGTAACAAACGAGCACAGCACACACATGATATGTGGATGCTGTGACCTAAAGACATCTACATCTATCCTCGATTAAGAATAAAAATACAGATGTTGAGGACTAAGATAGAATGCATCGTTTTCCAGTAAAAAAGGTCTCCGCTTCTTTACACTCGCCATAATTTTGTTTCCACACGATGTTTGTCTTCACCGTAGAACAGGTGGTATACATGACTTAAAACTACAGTTAAAATTCATGATGCTGGCGGGAATCGAAACCGTAATGTCTCTTACTGTGAATTTTACAGCGAGTAAGTAGCCATTGAGCTACCGCGGCAAATGAAGCTAAAATAAAATACAATTTCATTAAATAATTTTCAATATAACTATGCCTGAGCCGCGGTAGCTCAGATGGTTAGCGCTCTGTTATACCCTGTATTTGTTAGCCTTATTGCTGCACTGCCCCTTAATAATGTTGACTTTGCCTTAAGGTTCAGTGAGTATAGCAGTGGAGCAGTTCGGCCACTTCAGTCTGCTTCCATCTTCGAACCTGCTCGGTTGTCTACGGACCTAAGTTAATTTCTAACCAGTTTATAATATTTAATCCATTTATACTTAATTAAATTTCAATGTGTTAAATAAATCTTTTTTTTAAAAACCTATCAGCCCGTCTCCGTATAACAGCTCGCTGTAAATTTCACAGTACGCCAGCAACCCGGGTTCGATCCCCGCCGGTATCAATGAAATTATTAATTGCAATTTTAAGTGCTGATTTACCACGTGTTTGTCTGTGAAGAAAAACATGATGAGGAAACCTGCATGTCTATGTCTGAGAAATAAGAAAAAAATATTTCGAGGACGTGTGAAGTTCGCCAACACGCATTTAGGCAGCGCGTCGGACAATTTCTTGCCCTAAAACTCCCTCAGAAACGAGCGGAGGCCTGTGCCCAGGAGTGAGACGTATATAGTCTGTAACTTGCTGTGCTGGTAAAGAAGAAGGACAGCAGCATGCGGTTCTGTGTTGATTACCGTCGTCTGAACGACATTACGAAGAAGGACAGCTATCCCTTGCCAAGAATTGATGGCACGCTGGACATGCTAGTAACTATGGCTTAATAGATTAATTTCATAAGTTAGCAAATAATGCAGAGACCAGTAAGTTTATATTCAATGAAATATCAACATAAGCGGAGATTATTTGTTAAGAAAACACAACCGTGGTAAACTTCGTCCGCGTTGACGAACTTTAAATTGATTTCAAAACTGTTTGAACGAAAGCTGTGTACGTAGCTCGCGCCTGCGGGATGGGAATTGTCTTTATAAAATTTAAATGACAAATAAACCAACAGTTCATTTGAAGGTAAATATGTATTGTGCCCCCTGGACAACTGCAACTAACTTCAAGCAATAAAGGCTACAGACGCATTGTCACTACTGTAGCATAAGATGAAATGCCTTACATCTTGTAATTATATCGACTCACCATAGTCTACAGACCGGAAAACAGTAAAGGAGGTTTTAGGATAGGGTAACAAACGAGCATATAGTCCACCTGATGGTAAGTGGTTGCTGTGACCCATAGGCATCTACATTTATCCTCGATTAAGAATCAAAATGTAGATGAGTTGTCACATCTGAGGAGTAAGATGGAATACATAGATTCCAGTAAAACAGATCTCCAGTTTTTTACACTTATCATACGAAACGCAAACACGGTCGACCAGTTATATGAATTCTGGCGCACTTAAAACCTACATCTATGCTCAGTAAAGAATAAAATAAAGACATTTTCTTCCCTAACGAATTAGACTAAATGCGTAGTTAACGGTGAAAAGGATTTTCGGTTCTAGTCTTTCAGTATATACTGGTATAAACAGGAGAAATAAGCTGCTTTTTTATATTGGTATTCTGACTCATTTATGCTGTAGACTATACAGCAGCAAATTGGCTCTATTCCATAGAAAACTGGATGGTCTCATCAATACTAAGCATTCGCCTAGCTTTGAATATTATTATTTATTGATTCATTTACTAGGCCTTATTAAACGTCCACTGCTGAAAATTGGCCTCTCTTATGATTACGAGTAGGGGTCATTTTGTCATAGTAGTCACGCTCGACAGGCGAATTGGCCACTGGACTTTCTTATAGTTTTGAGTTGTTATCAGGAAGATGATGCTGATTTTCCGTTTCATTTCTCTTTGTCGCCCGTTAACGGGGTAATATGAAGGGGTGGGTTATCTTACATCGCCCCATACACGACTTGATATTGTAAAGAACTTTTAAGTTTAAATGAGATCCGGAACAGATAATTTATTTTATAAAGTAAAATAAAGTAGGTAAGCAAATGTCTGCCGCTCTACCCCAATACATGTTGGCGAACGTCACATTTCTTCGAAATATATTTTTTTCTTATTTCTTAGACATGCGGGTTTCTTCACGATGTTTTCCTTCACCGCCAAGTAAAATCGCAAATAACTATTTTATTAGTGCTGGCTGGGGTTGAACCCGGGTTGCTCGCGTACTGTGAAATTTACAACGAGAACTACTTATCCTTGAGTTCTCGGCTCTCTTTGTTGTTTTATAGTTAAAATATATTCTTGACCTCTTGCATAAGCTTTAAACTGCATCTTTTTTTGATGTTTAAAGGAAGTTACATGTTGAAAACGTAATTAACAACAAAAATGTTAAATTAAAAGTTGTAGCATTCTATACAAGATTTACAGTGAAGCGTCCGGAGGCTCTTTCACGTATCTAAAAGTTTATAGAATAGAGAAAAGTCTAACGGGCTGCTTACATACTTGTTCGCAAACTTCACTAGCCTCGAGATATGTTTTAAATCTTCATATATGCAAATTTTCTCACAGTGGTAAAACATTTACTGCCGCAAATGTGGTAAATCAACTCTTAAAACTAAAAATTAAAATTGTCTTTGTTGAGTGCTGACAGGGATCGAATTTGGGACGCTCACGAACTATAAAGATTAATGTTAGTGCTTGTACTTTTAGCTATACAGGATTTATAAAATATTTTTAAGAATTTCGTAGTATTTACTGCCTGTAATACCCCTACACCATTAACCCTATTTAAGACTCGCTTAAAATACTGGTAACCCTATAATATAAATCTCTTGTAGTAACGTTTACGAGTAAAATTTATTTAAGACTAGCTTTGCCTGGATAGGTTCTAATAATGAGGCGTATTTTAGATTTGAGATAACCAAAGACCTATTTTTAAAATTTTCCGATTTTCACGAACAATAACTAAAATGATGAAATATAATTTTTTTCTGTTGTCCTTTACTTAAATATATAAAAGACTTTTGCTTCGAAATATCGCTTAAAATCAAGCATACAGTAATATAGATCAATATCATTTAAGAGCTAAGAAATCAATCAAATAAAATCAAAGTTTTTTCTTTTTTGAAACTGCATGTATGGAAACTAATTTATCAATAATAAATAAGAAGACTATAAATATAGAAAAGCTTTTTCATAAACCTACTATGAAATAATATTTATTAATAAAAATGAAAATAAAAACGAACAAAAAATTCTGCTGACGAAATTCAGTAACGTCTGCATTCTATTAAATCCATGTCGTAGTTTTCAATTTGAAAACCGCCATCCGCTGTCTGTACTATTCCGACCCGCCGACTGTAAAAAAATTATAAGTATAAATAAAAGGCACTCACCGAGAAAATTCATCTCGTCGCCCTTCTAAGCACTCCCGTATAATAAAATATGCCTACAATCTATTAACAAGTCGCCATAACAAAGTCCGATATAAAAAATATAATTTTATTTTAATTGAGCACCAAATTTTGCTACTACATTAGAGATTGCATGATACGTATCGTTAATGCTGGAGGAGCAAAGAGAGAATTGGCGCCTCTTACATGGTTGTCGCGGCACAACCGTCCGTCGCGGAAGCCAGACGGCCAATGCTGTACTGCCGGCGTAGCACCTCTATTTAAGCACTGGCGAGCACAGACTACCCCACGCACACCACGCCGCGCTCTATCTCTACACGCCCTCTCACTCACACGCGCTCAATATTAAGTGGGTGCACAGGGGAAATGAAGGAGCCATTGTCAGTCTTAAATCGAAAAGGAAAAGTTGATTCGCGTAAATTTTTTCCACTTTAATGATTGTCGTAATTGTCGATATTAGGTGGTTCCAACTTTGAGACTTCAAATTCAAAAAACCCTCTAGGGACTGCCCGCTGTAGTGTCTATTATTTAAAATGGAAAATTCCAGTGAATAGAAGCGAAAATGCGTAATTAATAATGACAAAAAACGAGGCGGATGGTTCCAAATTCGATCTCCAAAACAATGAAGCTTCGATAAATAAAAGAGTAAGTAAGAAAAATTACACACATATTTTACTCCCTTTCAACGCACACATTGTCGTTACGAGAGCGATATGCGCATGTGTGGTGTAAGAACAAAGGAGTCGCCGACAGGGGGCGTGGTCATTGGTGTGTGTGAGTGTGTTAAATCTTTTATAGGTCGATGCATTAAGTAATTTACTATTATACCTTGCATTTGACAGAGCCTTTAGGAAAATATGCGTTTAGTGGGCCAATAAAAGTAGTTTTAAAGTAATGTCCTATTAAAAAAAAAATTACGTATATATAATTTTCTTCTATAGTACGTAATAGTCCACAGCCTAGCAGTTAAAGGGAAAGTTTGCCTTAATTGTCACCCTTGGTTCCTTCTCTTCTCTTGTACTTTTGACGTTGTTGCCGTCGCCAATCAAGGTATTTGGTTTACGTCTAGCGTAAACTAGATGGTTATACCGCCGTCTGTTGGAAGCAATGAGATGTTTTTTATTGAGTAATTGTGACAAAGGAGCACAAAGGGAGCAAAAAATGTTAGTGGATGTTGTGGCTCATAGACATCTCTTTGTCGTCATCTATCCTCCAAAATGGAGAATTTACTACCACACCTGAGTACTAAGATGGAATGCGTCGTTTCCAGTAAAAAGGATTTCCTATTTTCTACACTCACTGTAACAACATGAGGTGTGTAATAAAGATTAAAAAATAAATAGAAAAATAGTGATGTATATTCTGTAAATACTAGGAAAAAACACAAGTTAGTTATAGCAGTTACTCGACTTCAAAAAGCCAGTAATTCCATCATGGGGCAATGTACACAATTTTCAAGTCCAAGAAAATATGTAGACCTTATCTGTCAAAGGGTTTAAAATATTTATTAAGCAAAAATGTTTAGTACGGGTTATATTACCATGGGAATGAGGTGATCGCTACCATTCTGTTTCTAAATGTTTTCATAACAATTGTTTAAAATATTATATTGTAAATTGTGCTTTTAAAAAAGTCCCGCTGGGTTTCTTGCTGGTTCTTTTCAGGACAGAGGTTTTAATTTCGAACCAGTGGTAAAAATAAATAATGGCTTTCAATAAGTATTGCACGTAATGTATTTTGCATAAAATTATTATATTCTATTCCCCAATAAATAAAATAAATAAATAAAAATATTCTGTAATTTTGTAACGTATTCTGATTATGTTTTAATTCAAATAAATTTCGTCATCAGTGTTTTTCTATTTTAACAAAATATTATATTATTGCAGTAAAGTATGGCAAATTAAGCAAATTTTTGTTTAAAGGTGGACGTTTATCAACATAAATTGCAGCTAAGTAAAATTTTGGAGGTGGTTATGTGAATCGGCTCGAACGGTGAAGGACCAAGTTCACGCAAAGTACGAGAGTAATTCAAATTAGTAGCACAATGTTTGCACCGTTTACGAGTAGTATATAACGAGGAATTTCTTAATCTCAGAGATGGCAACGCGTCTACGTTTTGATTTTCAGTCAAGGATAAGCGGTACATGGGCCATAGCATCCACTTACCTGTAGGTAGACTGTATGTTTGTATCTCACTTTTATTTTTAAACTATAAAAATCTTTAATGCTCTTTTCCATCAGGTTAGATGTATAACATAAATATATACTATATTAATTGCCCAATAACCGTCAGACAAAATGTAATGGAGTCATGCTACAGGTCTGTTTTGATACAGTATAGTACGAATGGGTTGGACTCGACCGAGGAAGGACTACACTCTTAGAGCATATCAGAGTAAAATACTAGCATAATGCTGTTGCGTTTAGTTTTTTTATACGATATGGGTGCCAAACGAGCACACAGTCTACCTAATGGTAAGTGGATGCTGTGGCCCATAGACATTTAACCTCGATTAAGAATCAAAACGCAGAATGCAGATACGTTATCTTCCTTGGGGACTCCGGTTCTCTACACTCACCGTTCGAGACACAGCAGTAAATAAAAATTATTAAAATTAAATTATTAATGAAGCTGTTATTTTACGCTGGTATTCTGTGAGAGCGTGGTCCTTCCACAGTCGAGCAAACCCATTCATAGTACAACCACAATATAGCTGCAGCGAGGCTCTACCACGTATAATTTATTTCAATATGATCAGTGACAACAAACTCAGGTCTTTTACTGGTAAAAAGACATTTTATTTTAGTTTTCGGTAACAGTACCAGTTCAAGTAACGCATCTAAGTTTCGATTCTTAGTCAAAGATAGATGGTCTACGGGTAGTATTCACTTGCCTTTAAGTGGATTGTGTTATTAGCCTCCCTCGTTAATTATCAGGTCGGGTATTTTTCATAAATATATACTATATATAAATAATCTCATGTATGCCAATATGTGCTGTGTAGTGACTATGTAAAAATATCTACTATCCCATATCATCCCGTGAGTGTCGACAGAAGCGACGGACGGAAAGCGAAACAGGAAACGGGCAGTAGAATCTCCCTGATAACAAATGTAAATAATTAAAATCCATGATCATGGAATGGAAAAGATATATCATTAATATTGGTTAAATGAAATCCATACGAGCAAAGCCACAAGAAAATTAACGATGTTAAAAAAATTACTGGCTAATATCCGCGTGATAAAACTTTATAATATACGCGTAATAACATTTCATTATAAATATATCTTAGCTAGTTATTTTATAGCATCGTCGTTAACGTAATGGCTCTGCATAGCAACGCCACATACTATTAATTACTACGAGAAAATGTTAGTACTGGAGCTCGACTGGTGATTGTTTAGAACAAGGTTTTAGTCTGGGAGTCCGTCTGGGACGGTATCACTCTCTCAAATAATTTCAACACCAAATACTCGTAGCAATTATCGCACTGCTGTGTTCCGATCCGAAAGTTTTTTTTAATAGAATAAGGATGACAAACAAGCATACAGTCCACCTGACGGTAAGTGGATGCTGTGGCCCATAAGACATCTACATTTATCCTCGATTAATAATCAAAACGTAGAAGCGTTGTCACCCCTGAAGACTACAATGATATGGCTTGTTTTCAGTGAAAAAGTGTCTCCGGATCTCTACATTCACCATAAGAAACACAGCAGTATTAAGCTGCTATTTTACGCTACTATTCTGAGAGAGCGTAGTCCTTCCCCGGTCGAGCCGACTCATTCGTGCTACAGCCGTAATAAAGTTCTCTTACGTGGTAGAGCCATGCTGCAGCTATATTATTGTATAGTTGTAGCACGAATGGGTCGGCTCGACCGGGGAGGGACCACGCTCTCACAGAATAAAAAAGTAAAGTAAAGTTACAGCCTATATACGTCCCACTGCTGGGCACAGGCCTCCTCTCATTTCTGAGAGGGTATTAGGGCAAGGAAGTGTCCACCGCGCTGCCCCAATGCGTGTTGGCGGACTTCACAAGTCTTCGAAATTTTTTTTCTTATTTCTCAGACATGCAGGTTTCCTCACGATGTTTTCCTTCACCGCCGAGCACGTGGTAAATTAGCACTTAAAATTGCAATTAACAATTTCATTGGTGCCAGCGGGGATCGAACCCGGTTTGCTCGCGTACACACAGAATACGGGCGTCAAATAGCAGCTTAATGCTGCTGTGTTCTGTATGGTGAGTATAGGGAACCGGAGGCCCTTTTTACTGGAAAAGAAGCCTTCCATCTTAGTCCTCAAGGCTGACAACGCATCTGCATTTTGATTCGCAAACTAGGATGGATAGATGTGGATGTCTATGGGCCGCGGCAGCCGCTTACCATCAGGTGGACTGTGTGCTCACTTCTCACCCTTTTCCTATTAAAAAAAAAACAACCATGATACAGCTGCAGCGTGTTTTTACCACTTATAAACGATAAATACATGATAAATGGACCGCTGTGACTGAGAAACCATTCTCGATTACGAATATAAATGCAAACGCGTTGACACTCTTGAGGACTAAGAAGGAATGCCTCGTTTCTAGTAAAAAAAGATCTCGGTTCCCTATACTCACCATACAAAACACAGCAGCATTAAGCTGCTATTTTACTCCGGTACGCTGTGTGAACGTGGTTTACCTTAGTCGAGCCGACCTTTCGTGTTACAACCGTAACATACCTGCAGGGTTGCTCTACAACGTATAGTCCGTTTTAAAAATGTTGTATAATAAAAAAAACTGATTAATTTGTTGAACTTTTGAGCTGTGTTTGTTTTGACAAAATTTTCTTTAGTAAATTTCTTTTAAAAGAAAATCTTGTCGGAAGTGAAAACTCGACTATATTTAGAATGCTTCCACAAGCGTTGTTTTATTACTTCAAATTACGTGTGAAAGCTTACACGCGTGTAATTAGGAGTTGGAAGTTTGACGCAGGCGTGGTTATATT